CTGCCCCTGCATCTGGTAGACTGCTGCTGTACCTGGTGGTTCAGTCTTAATCCCACCCCCCTCATCAATTTGCCTAGAACATTTACAGGATGTAAGACCAAGAGTGAGCTCTTGGGGTCCTGCAGGGCCACAGGGTGAAGAGCTGTCAGGGAAAGGGGGAGCCTCTCCCCTAATTTACCTGTGTGCTTGGAAAAAGTCCCACAGGAGCTCCATTTCTTGTGCCTCACGGGCCTTCCAGCCTCGGCTCCCCCCCTCCAGGTCGGCGAGGAGGGCCTCGAGCCGATCCTGCAGCCTCCGGATCCTGCAACGAGCCGAGCCGGAGGAGGACATGAGGACGAGTGCTGAGGAAGCCCACCCACCGGCTCCCAGTGCAGGGAGAAGGGACAATGGAGACGCCCCCCTGCTCTGTGCCCGGCAGCCCCCTTGCTTCGGTTGGCTCCAGCATGCCAGGAGGGCACAATGGGGGCCACAAGAGGGAGATTTGCTCTTGTAAGGATGCATTCTTTGCCACCCATCCGAAAAAAGGGTGGGGGGCTAGATGGGGGGCAGAGAGTAAAGGCTCACCCCCTGCGGGCCATCTGTCCAGCATTTTTACAGGGAGATTTAGTTTTTAAAGGGTGGCAATGCTGCTCTCCTCGTGAATGGCACTTGATGCTGGGGGTTGGAGGGAGCGCAGTTCCACTTCTGCCCAAGTTGCCGAGGTTCCTATGAGCGTTACTTAGTCTGGGGCGTGGGGGGTGAGACTGCAGCCATCACCCCCTCCTCGCTTTTCAACTATTTTGCTCACTCAGAACTAGAGACGCAGGGAATCAACATCGGTACGGATTTCTCTCAGTCAGAAACAGTCCCTGAGCTGAAGCTTTGTTATCTCTGCAAACGGGAATCTCAGAATGTCACAATGCAATTCTCCCATTCTTTTTTTTAAAGATGCACATTGGAGAAAGGATTGTATGGAGGTGCATTCCTATGGGGGAAACTGCTTGCAAAAATGGGTTCATTAGAGACAACTGCAAGCAAACCTCTGTTTCCAAAAACAGGCAGAATGAGACACACAAACTTTTACTCTGCGCTGGCTGTGGAATGAAGATTTAAGATTTTTATCACCAGAAACTGAGATAAACAGAAATGGAGAGGGTTCATTTTAATATCGATTGTAAGATTTCTAGAACCACCTAGAGATTATTATGTAAATCACAGGCAACAATATTATGCATGATATTTTCTATCCTGCTAGAAACTTAGAAAGAAACTGGCATTTGTATGACTGGATGTGATTTGGTTTCATTCCTGCACGTGGACTTTATATTCAACAGGGTGCAAGAGTGCTGCCAATTTTATTTTTCCATTCTGAATTCCAGGCCTGAAAGTCTTGCATCCCACGGCTGGGCGTTGCACATTGGACTTCGGGTCCCTGAGTCTTTTCACAGTAAAAGAAACAAGCAATTTGATCTGCGCTGCAAGAGACGTGGATGGGGCCCTGGAGGCCTAGCTAGCAGGAGTGGCCCTGAGAGAGGCTCATGGGTGCTCCTGGCCTGGCATTGCTCTCCTGGTCTTCAGCGGGCAGGGTGGGGAGAGTGTCTTTCCCAGCCCAATCTGGGGCATGCAACGTGGGGGAGGGCCAGCCTGCGCTTCTCTTGGGGGTCTTCTGAGCAAGGATCTGACCCCAAGAGCTTGGCATTCCCTTCCCTCATAACTGAACAACATTTTTACCCCAGGGGATTTTTCCCCTTCAATATTTCTGGGTCCCCCGAGCCCTCGATGCCCGTCCCAAGCCAGCGTCTCCTGGAAATTTGCCTCTCTGCAAATCAGAGGTGGGGCAGATCCAGCTCCCGGCAACTGGGTCAAGGCCTCTGGTTCCACTTACCGCGCCGAAGTGTCCAGTAATGCGAGCATCGATGCTTTTGGCTCCGTCTTGCCCAGGCTTCCATCCGCGTTCTCAGACGCAGCAGGAGGGGACCTCCTAGACGCACCAACGGGAGCACGCTCCTAGGCACCGCGGAGGAGACAGCATGTGGATGAAGAACGCCTAGCAGGGCAAACGCTTTCCTGCTCAAGGGCGAAGCGTGCCCAGGAACCAGCTGCCTTTCCGTACGAGGGGCCCAACCCGTCCGAACTCCCCTCCCTGGCGTTCGCTGCCTCTTCCTCCCGTTCCGGTTTCATGGAGGCTTTCCAAACATTACTTCTGGAGCAGGGGGACGTCCAGCTGCCCCCGCTTTCTGCTCCTGCCTCCTTTCTGGCACTTTCCCCCATCCATTTCACGTCGACGGAGCAATCTCCGCCACAGAAGCTTCCCCGTAAGAAACTCGAGGTGGCTTTCTTGGTAGCGTTTTGTCCACGTGGACCGGGGCCCGTGGGGAAAGCAAACTTGTAGCTCTTGTGCCTGTGCCAAAGGAAGGCTGGCGAGCACAGGAAAGGAAGCGAGGCGCACAAGCACGTGTGGACATTGGGCAAGCTTCTGCACCAAATCAGCCCTAGCGTGAGCCCAGCAAGATTTGCCTTTTCTGCAAGGACTATGAAACGCAGAAAGCAAAAAAGACGCCAGCGTGCCTTGAGGAGGGGAACGTTGGCCAGTCGCGCACGAGCATCATTCCGTGCAAGGTTGGAAACCCTAGAAGTGGGGCAGGGTGGTTTCCCAGCGGACCAGTGGAAACAAAGCTGGGTGTCCCAAAGGTGAGATGGGGAGCAGGTCCACAGCAATCCTTCAAGCTTCCTGAAGTTCCGGGAGTTGGGCCGAGGGGCTCCTGGGCTGGGAAGACGAGCCTTCCAGCATCCCCGGAGGGGGCCCACCCGGGGCCCGGGATGGGGACAAAGGGGACCGAGTGAGCCTTTTACCCCAGAGCTGCTGCCACTGCTGCTGCTTCCAGAGGAGGGAGCTGGCTGTCCCCGGAGGTCCTGCTGCTCCTGCTGCAAGGTCTGGATCACCAGCAGGCACGCAGCCTCTTGCGCCTGGAGCGTGTGCGTCCCCAGCTCCAGCCCCTGCTTCTCCTTCACCGTGAGATGCAGCTGGGTGCCCAAGTCCGCCAAGGCCTCCTGGGTTGGGGCAAAAGGAGGGAAACGGTGGAGGGAAAGAAAGGGGGCACAGAGCCTCCCTGCCCTGGACGCTCGTGGGGAGCAGGAGAGAGGGTGGAAGAGGCGCTCTGGGGGCCCCCCAGAGGATGCGATCGACGCTCACAAGCCACAACAGCCAAACCCCTTCGGTTCAGAGGAAGACTCCTTCCGAAGACCAACCAGTCGCCTGCTATGGGTGAGGCAAACGAGAGAAGACGGGAACTCGGAGTGTGCAAACTGGGACCAATTCGAACATTCAAATGGTTCGTTATATTTTATGTCAATTCGGATGTCTCAGTCGATTTGGACTGAGTCTCTGAGTCAAACCCAATTTAACTGGGGCCATTAAACCCATTTGCATGCCCAGAAAGTATCTGAATTGGTCCAAACTGGGAGGGTCTTGATTCGATTCAGCACCCTGAATTGTTGCACAGTTGCACAGTTGCACAGACGTTTGTCGTATCCTGATCGCTTGCAATGCAGGACCTCAGGCCCAGAAACTTGCCTAGGTCTGATTCAGATGTGCGTCTCAAGCCCTACAGGAGGCTTGCAAAGTCGCTCTGCAGGGAGATGGGCGGTGACAAATTTGGAATATAAATAAGTATACATAAAATTAACGTGAATGTGGCCCAAGCAGCTGGGCTGGTGGGGGCTGCTAAGTTATATCTCCCTCGGAGTGCAGAAGTTGGGAGCCACAGAGAAAAAGAGTGGCCTGGATTTTGCAGAGGGAGGAAAAGGAACCTGGAGAGGAGTTCGGCTTGGTTTTATATTCTGTATCTGCAGAAACCCTGTTCTCCGAACGCAGCGGTCCTGGCAGGGCGCGAGAGAAAGCAACTGGTGAGCTGTACGGCAGCCCAGGTTTTGCAGAAGCATGAAATAAAAGTTAGGAGGAAAACCCTACAGTGGTGTTTCTCAACCTCAGCCACTTGAAGTCTGGGGAATTCTGGGAGTTGAAGTCCACCCATCTTCAAGCGGCCGTGGTCAAGAAACACTGCCCTACAGGGAAGGGAAAAAAAGAACTAAGGAAACAGCTCAAGGCAGACTAAGGAGGGCAAGGCGGAGAAGTGAAATCCTCATGGAATGGAGAAGGACAGGATAAGTTCCCGGTCTCTGGCTGGCATGCGGGAGATGCTCGGCTGTAACGTTTTGCTGCAGGTTTCCCGGGAAGGGCAGGGCTCCGGAAGCCCTGTGCCGCTGCCCACCTCTCCTTCTCCTCCCCACCCAGTCGGCCTCAGTGCCGTTCAAGGATGACGGGAGCCCCCTCCCTGTTTTCCGCGTGCTCACCCGGGCGGCGTGCAGCTCTCGCAGCAGCTGGGCCTTCTCCACCTTGGGCTGGGGGTCCGGGCCGGGAAGCGCCTCCTGCATGGCCCTCCGGCCCTCGGCCACCTTGGCCCCAATCCCCGCATTGAGCCTGGCAGCCACAGAGTCCAACCCAGGAGGAGGCTGGGGGGCGGGCAGCTTCAGAGACCCCTGGTCGGCCCGCAGGCGCCTGATGCATTCCCGCAGCCTCGCCTTGGCTTCCTCCTCCAAACCAAGCAGCTCCAGGGAACTGAAAGGAAAGTGGGTGTCGGGAACCAGAGGCACGGTCCTGGTGGGCTTCCTCCTCAAGGTTCCCCCATCAATGACTAAATAGGTTGTTGACTGACCTGCCCGTGCTTCTCCCCAGAACCGAGATCATCCCGCGCGTCTTCCAGAGAGAGAAAGCGTCTGTGGCCCCATCAGGGGCAGGATCCCCTGGCTCACCCCTCAAGAGGCTGCCATGTGCTCCCCGCCACCCCCCGAGAATTCAGGCATGGAACTTTTCTGCCCCCCTGAGGAAGCTGAGGACCAAATCCAAAGTGCCTTTTAGCGCTAGACCGTGGTTTTGGGAAAGGAGGACCCTGGATGAGTGAGGGCGGACCAAAATCTCCAGGAATGGACGGGGTCTGGTTGTCCTGCGAACGCGACGACCTCAGTTCTGTGCCAAACAGTTTGACAGAGAAAGTCCATCTCTAAGACTAACCCGATCCCTCCAGAGTCGTTTTGCACGCCAAGCGCATCTTCCTCTCTGGATCTTCCTCTGTCCACCCCAGCCCGGCCCACTCTCTCCCCCCTCTTCCTCGGTGGCCCACAACTGATGCCCAGCCCCAAACTCACCTTCTGAAGACCTCCCAACCCTCCAGTCCCACCCGTACCTCTCTCGGATGCCATCCTGCTCCCGGGAGCTCTTGCTGGCTGGTATCTTGCTTTAAAAC